AAATACTTATAATATGATATCAGTAACATAGAATTCTATTGGATAATCAATAAGTAGGATAGAATAATATTGCATTTAATATACCTAATATTTGATTGTCTTCTACTATACTTTAGATAATAATAATCTTAAGTAAAATAGATTATATGATATTATACAACTTTTTAAAAAAAGGTAACTAAAGCTGTATATGATCATATGATTAATTAATTGGTTAAGTATCTGACCGCTTCTAACTCCAGCTACAAGTAAGTAAATTTAAAATTTTTTTTTTATTTAAAAAATACATAACCAACTAACTAAAATTAATATATTTTGTAGTCACCATCTGACTCTATAAGTGCAGCTGTACACCTTTTTATGTTAGCTACCAAATTTGTAGCAAGTACAAGTAATAATTAGTTCTATTCTTTTGTAAGTTCTCCCTTTAACCCTCTAATTGATCAAATTTTTTTTTGTATATTAATTTTCATTAATCTCTAAACGTTTTCTATAGGGTTTTAGTCTAAAAATATTGATAGTCAAGAAAGTACCTCAATGCCATTTTCTTTCTTTCATTTTTTTACGATTTTTGATTGATGCTTTGGATCATTATCTTCTTGTAAGATTCAATCTATATTACTTTTACCAAAAAGTTTAGAGATAGAAGCCAGAAGACCCTGCTCATAAATAGATACATAAATTCAGCATTAAGGTTCCTCTGAAAGCAAAATAGCTTACCAAATTCAGAAGCAGAAAAACATTCCTAAACATGAACTTTTGGTAGATGCTTAACAGAATGAAATACTTTTTTTTACCAGGAAACTGCCAAACCTTTTTTTGATATACTATATATAATTGAAATGTACTCTCATCTGTAAAAATAACTCGATTTCAATTAAAATTCTTATATTTTTTTACCCATTGCAACCTTTTCTTTTGATGGTCTTCTTTAAGCAAAGGTTTAGAAATTTTATTACTAAACTTTTCTTCAGACTTACAAAGACGTCATCTTACTATTTCTATACTAAGCCTAATACCTCTTTCTTCTATTTTTTCTTATATTTGAATGGCTGTTATATTATATTCTTTTTCTGCTATCTTTACAATCTTGTCATCTTATTTCACAAATATTACATAAGGCTACCTGGTCTTTTTAAAATACTTAGGTCCTGATTTTCATGATATTTTTTAACTCAATAAATAGCTGTAAACTTACTACAACGTATCTGTTTAGCAATAAATCTAAAACTAAATTTTAGACCAGCTGTATGCTCACGTAAAAAGATAATTTCATATCATTTCTCTAAAGAAAGTTCCATTTTTCAAGCGAAAGTTTAATGATCATTTAAATTTTTTTATATTATTGACACTTATAAATTTATAGGTAATCATGTATTGTATTACATTATATTTCTGAAAAATTTAAGGAGTAGTTATATAATAATTTTGGATGATCTTAGGTGATTAATACTTATGATCACTACTGTACAATAATCTTATTAGAGCATAAACTTCTGGTACTCGATAATGTTAAGGTCTTAGCTTTAGCAAATATAAAGTTAATTAGAGGATCATTACTATTAGATGATGGATTTTTCTTTGAATATGATGAGATGTAGTTGCCATGATATTTTTCTTGTTGAAATTTAAATCATAAAACAAAAGATAATTGACAAATCTGAGTATTTAAATGGTTAAAAATAATGCAAATAAATGAATCCATCATCATAATAATAATTTAATAACTAAATTTGAATCAATTAAATGACTACCTTATAAACTAGTCTTTTTGATAATATATTAAGTAATTATGCATCTTAAATTAGTCTATAAATAAATAAAATAAATTTATCAAATAATTACTTTATCATTTTATAAAGTTTCTTTAAAAATAAATTAAACAATCGCTTACTTTACAAATCAGGATAATAATATGATTAAACTGGCAAAGCTTGATCCAATAACAATCATTATAATATCTTTTTAATATAATAATAATATATTATAAGAATATTACCTTAATAATTATCTCATCCTCTAATAAATAAAAAAATTCTAGCAAAAAATGTCTGATTTTTGATATGAGTATTGTTCATGAATATTTAGCAGACGTGATGCCTTTCAAAATTATCTTAAGATGCATTATGACTAAATATATCTAAAAGAAAATAAACTAACTTGTGAAGAAATTTCTAATACTATGATAAATTCAGCTACCATTAGAAATACTTTTCAAAAAGTTGTTTTACCTACATTAACTGACAAAATAATATATGATGAAAATTCCTTAGATATTAGCAGCACAAGTTTCATAAATATTGAATTTTATGAAGTAACCAGTTAAGTTTAAAAATAATGTAACAAAAAAAAATCACATGCAATTTTATTGTTTATTTAATATTTACATGTTGTATTACAGAATATAGATGAAAATATAGAAAATTAAAATGAAATCAAAAATGTCAAATGTGAGAATAAAATAAAAATTTCTATTGAAGAAATTTTTAAAGATCATTTTCTGTCATGATCTACAGATAAAAGTCCATCCAAATTGACTACTATTATAGATATTAGAATGATACAAAAAGTACAGGAAGTAAACGTTTTGATACTATCATTTTCGAATCCTGCATATAAGGCATTTATGAAATTAATTACAAAACATAAACTTGCTGATTTTATAATAAATAATATCATTTAACTATTTAAGAACTTTTACATAGATCTAACTGCAAATCTACTATCAAACATTAAAGCAGCATAAATATTACTTGATTCTATGCAAATTCCTCACATTCTTTACAAAAAAAATTATCATAGAGTATGACCAAATTCAATACACTCTTTATTATTGCATAATTTATAACACAATTAAAGAATTATTAAGTAATATGGATATTTTTAAATATTGTATATTTGAATATATGTCTAAATTTAAAAATGGTGAAAAATGTTATTTTAAATTATATAATGGAAAGTGGTAAGGCTGAGCTTAGAATTCAATCAATGAAAATGCTAAGATCCTTTCTATAATTATCTACTCAAACACAACCATGTGTAATATACTTGGAAAAACATCTGAGCATCCTGTATTCTTATCACTAAGTAACATTCCAGTATGGTATTGTAATAAGTTAGATTCAAAGGCTATATTGGCTTATTTACCTAAAATAAATAAGAAGAAAAATCACAAAGACTTTGCTTTAATGAAGCAATAACTTTTTTATCACTCAATAAAAATTCTTTTGAAGTCAATTAAACTAAGAAGTAATATTGATTTATGAACTGATGATGGAATAGTGACACATTTTTATCAATATTACTCAGTGATCTATCTAAATATTACTCTATAACGTTAACATATAACTCAGCTAACTGTAAAATGCTGTGTCATATATGCATAATACTAAAAGAGAAGTTTAATAATCTATTAATAGACAACTCTATAATACAAATATAAATACCTAAAATGATGCAAAATGTATTAGAAAATGGAATGTTTGAGGATTACTCATTACATGATATTAAGAATCCATTCTGAAAATTTTTGTAAGTATTTCATGATAAATTATTTAAATATCATAATTTATTATATATTTTACTTATCAATTTATTTAATTATTTAGGTAATTTAATGTATATCAAGCTTATTTATCAGACCAGATGTATCACTTGGATCTTGATCTATTTAAGCATCAAGTTGAATATACATAAGAACTATTAAAAGAATGGTGTGATTTAGATGACGTAGTTGAATTTGATGATCATTTAGAAAAGATTCCATGCTTTTCAGAACTAAAATTATTTAAAAATGGATTAAGCAATATAAAATACTTCACTGCAGATGAGTTTTGTATAATGATATACCAACTTGTGTTTATTGTTGATGGTATCATTAAAACATTACATAAGTCTAACTATACTATAAATCAGGCTAAAAATATGGATAAAAAATTGGTGCAATTATATGTTAATTAGAAAAATATGTACATTTTTTCATGTAATGAGGAATTTACAGAGTCAGATCTAATAACTTTTAAAGTAAATGAATTTCATTATATAATTTGTTTATGTAAAATTATTTTTAATCTATTTATATTTTACAGTCACTCATTATTAAATGGTCAAAAGGATTTATAAATCTACTATCTCAATATTTGCTATTACATTTATGATTACCAAAATTTCATAATTTGAATTATCATATTATTTCTTCAATTATTGAATATGATATAATTAATAACTTTAGTACAGAAACATATAAAACTTTGCATAAGGAGTAGATAAAGAATTCTTATAGGATGAGTAATAAACATGATATAATATTACAAATATTATGAATAGTAAGTAAGAAATTAATTATCATTTATATTATTATATTGATAATAATTATCTAAATATTCATTTGTGATTAAAGTATAAAGAAAATTATACTTAAATACTTGTTTCAGTTTTCTAAACCAATGGTCATTAAGGATATCAAATATTCTTCATCAATAATGAATGGTGAGATTGCTACTTTTAAGCTATCATTATTTGATAAATTTATTACATCTTATAAAGCTAGTAATTCTCTAGTATTAGAAGCAACAAAGGCATTTGATCAATTTTTATCAGCATTAGACAAGTTTTTTGACTTATATAAAGAATTAACAGAATACAATATAAACAATAATAATGTATTTGTTAAATAATACCAATTGGTAACAATATCTAGTGGTGATATAATTAGAGCAATTTCTAATTAGTATCAGCAAGTAGTTTTTGATAAAATATGAGTACTGATAAACTTGAAGATTATATTACAAATGATAGAATGTATTTTGGCAAAATAATTTTAGAAGTTAATGATTATTGTTATAATTATATATTTTAATTATATATTTTAATTATTTTTGCATTTGAATTAGGTATTGATGTTGTGTTCTATCAAAATTTCATTAATAAATAAGACATTTAATTTAGCGCTCATACAGTAATATGATTATAAATACAGATCAAATAGTCTATAAAATAAATATGATTGTCCATGTATAATACTTACTTTTCAATATGAATTTATACCTGTTAAGTCAGCTATAGAACAATTACATATAGTACAAAGATTTATGAAAAATAATGAATATTTAGTAAATATTTTTATGTTTTAAACTTAAAAAAATTGTAATATCATTCTAGTATGATTAATAATTAATATAAAATTTAAATCAAAATTTAAGTTATTAAAATTGTATATATAATTGTTAGTTGATATGCAATATAGTGATGATCATTAAACTTAAAATAATAAGCATTAAATTTAAATTGATGAACATTATTAAATGATATTTATCTAATAAATATATTATTAAATGATATACATTGAAATTTTATTATTAATGAACATTACTAAAAAATGATATATATTAAAAATTAATATTTATTTGATGAACATTAGCTTTAGAAATTTCCTGATGTATGATAATCTGAGCATAATAACTATATTAGGCAGCTATCTTAAATTAGGTTATTAAAGACTCTTTTTTTCAGTAGTTAGCCAGAATCTATTGTACTATGATAACATTATGGATTAGTTATGTAATGCCTACTTTGTATAGCTTATTATAATGGCTAGTACATTCAGCATTTCAGACTGGCTTGAAATATAGCAAGTGGGCTAACTCTAAGTATGATGTTAAGCTCGCATATAAATTATATGTATAATTGCTTAGTCTAGATACTTTAATATCTGATTACTAGAACAAACTAGTATCGTATCTGCTGAATAACTTTACTTAGAGATAAAAGGCAATTGATATTAAGCAAAGTGTTTAAAATTCATTATGTATTCTTTGTATTAATATTTATAAATAAAATTAAATATATATAAAAAAATTAAAATCTTTAAAAATAAAAAATAGTACATTTAATTAGTATTCTTATAAGTTTAAGTATTTAAGTTTAAAATAAGATTGTTTTTTTAAAGATTATATTAAATAAAATAAAAGTGTTTTTTCTTGTTAAAAAAAAGGAAAAAAAATCAGTTTAATTTCAGTAAAATTATAATTAATTATATAACTGTAATTAATCATCAAATTAAAAATTTTTATATTATTTCACATACAATTTTTTTATAAAAAAAGCAAAAGAAAAATAACAAAATAAATTAGAATTTTAAATTGAATCAAATATAATATATTATTTTATAAATAATTTGATCAGATTAGGTTAGATTATATTAGATTATATCAGGTCAGATCAGATCAAATGAAAATTTAAATCAAGATTTTTGTTTAACTTGACCTGATCTTTTCAGTTAGTAACTTGATTGACTTGACCTGTGCAGAACTCTAATATCTCATAAAATAAAATAATAATCATCTAAATCATCTTATAAAAATAATTCAAATAAATTAAAATATATATTGAATTAAGTTAGCCTTATATTATATGATAAATAAATACAAATATATTAACTATATTTAAATATATTTTTAAACTGTAATTTTTTATATATATGTTATTTTAGTTTTAATCTTTTTGTATTTAATTTTTATAACTTAGATTTTTTTACTGATTATGATAAAAATGTTATAATATTTTATAAACTAAAACTTTTGGTAACATATATTCTAATCTGATTTTATCATAAGATTATTTAATAATTTATTTTTTTTTAATATTTTTCAATAAGAACTCATCAATATTTTGGATAGAATAAAATTATCATCATTTATGCATAAAAACATACAAAGTTAAAAATAAATTAACAATATTGGCTTTAATAAAACTTACCAAATATTTTTCTCTACCTAATAAAATCCTTAAAATTTCTAAATAAAAAAAATAGATATTAACTTTGCAAGCTTTCTTGAAATGAATAATTATTTTGATGATTGAATATTTTGATTAACACTCTTATATAAAATTGTGACATGTGACTGATTTTTGATTGATACATTTTTTTCGTTAAAAAGGTTAAAATTTGAGATTAGTTCATAATCATTAGTCAACAATAACATTAAATATGAGACCCAAGTATAAACTCTTTCTCTATTCTAAAAATAAATGAAAATTAAGGAAATTTCTCTACCCGCTAGTCTAATATATCCAAAAAGGTCTTTATTTATATTATACTGAAAGCTAATAAATTTTTTGAACCTTGTTTTTAACTCTCATTTTTCACATTTGCATATTTAGTATGAAAATGCATTATCTTTTATTCAAGCTAAACCTATTGATGAATTATTCATGATTCATATTACTAAAAAAGAATAATACTATTAATGATAAAACATTCCATAAAGATAAACTCACCATTTTGTGAACTCAAGAAAATTGATATAAAAAGAGTTAAATGGAAATGTAGAAGGGTTCCAATAAGGCTAATCAATAAATGTTATAGAAGATTGAAAATCTTATTGAAGAAAACAAAAAATGGAAAACAATTAAAGATATTGAAGATAATATTACTGAAATTTTCATTAAAAATGAGCTCAAAGGTAATAATAATAAGTTAACTTTAACTATGGGTCTTAAAGATATTTTTTCAGTTGATCCTCTAAAAGGTGTGATCCATATTATCATGCAAATACCAACCTTCACTAGTAAGTATCTTCCAATGGTTATCTCATTTTTTATTTGATTATAAAAAGTAATTGTGCTGACTCAGATGAAGAATATGAAATTCAGAAGAAAGGGAAAGTTAATTATTCTTTTAGAGAATCAAAAGTAGGTTATGATAGTCTTCTAGTTATTTATGAAAGGATTAATAATATCATTAACTTTGTGAAAAAGAATCGTGTAAATCTTTTGCGCAATCCCATCATCAGGTAAGAATACTTTGTGATAAACACTCTGAGATTATTTTCAGGAAACTAATAATGTTAGCATATAATATTATTCTTGCCGGTATATCTAATGAAGAACGTTCAAATGACAAAAGATTTGGGATAAGCAAGTTTTGATATTTCACAAAAACATAACACCACTTTTTTGTTCATCGATGAGATACAAATCATTTACGGTAAACATGCTCAACGCTTTTAGGATAATATAAAGATACTTATATCAAGCAAATGTACTAAAAATATTCATATTCTTCTTATCGATGCATATAATCCAACACTTGGGATAGAATCAATTCCTGTGTCATTTGGTGATAATAATTCACTTAGTTTGAAAGACCTACTTTTGATAAGGAATGAGTTTAGGACACTTGTAGCAAATTATACTCAGGCTCGTGGTATTAGTGGTAGCCCAAGGTTTAAGATTCCTACAAAAATTGAAGAGGCGATATTAGACTTACCAACAGACATCCTGGTTTGTTTAGAGTAATTCTGGATACACAACACAATCATTACAAGAATGGACCCTTGACTTTGGACATGTTACGTTACCTTGCATTGACAGAAGAATCACGTGCCTTTGCTTTATTGGTAGCTGAGAAACAAATGCTAGGGAAAATGAATTAATTCGTGATATGATATATAGGGGTCCGGTTCATTTCACTGACACACGTTTTACCGACAATTATTTTACCGATAAACACTTCACCGACAAGATCATTTTACCGACAAACGTTTCACCGACGATTATTTCACCAAAATAATCACTTCGCCGACATGTTCATTTCGCCGACAAACATTTCACCGCCACTGTCATTCCATCAACACGATCATTTCGTCGTCGATAGTTTATTTATTTTTTTTTTTTTATTAAATTTTACATTATAAATTAATCATTAATAGAAAAATTAAATAAATAAAACTTCACATTTAAAAGTTTATAATAAAAAAAAAGGAGATTTCTAATTCAACGGTCATATGCTATTTATAGTCATTTTACATATTTTATCAATGTTACATATTAATTTAGATGGGCAATTAATAAATAAATAAAAATATTTCACAATAAATAATCAAATTTTATTGAAAAATATAAATTATAGCATTTATTGTAATTTTTTAACTTACAAAAATATGTTTTTTGGAATGTCGGCGAAATGATTATGTCGGTGAAATAATCGTCGGTGAAACGTTTTCGGTGAAATGATCCTATCTGTGAAAGTTTGTCAGTGAAATAATGGTCGGTAAATTGTTTGTCAGTGAAATGAATGCGGCCCGATATATAGTACCCGTAATGGAATTCTCGTTAATTTTGACGAATATAGTATTATCAAGAAATTTCTTAAATAGGTTTCTTCGTAAGGGATGTGAATTCTATACAGCCAAAATTTACCGCTCTATTTTTTTAATAATTCTAAGTCATCATATGGGATATTTTGCAATAATAAAAGGGGAAACGGCTGGAAAAAATAAAAAATGAGTAAATGCTAAATCTGAACATATTTTGACCTAAAAATCATATTTGGCTTATAAAAGTAAAATTGAATTTTTCCGGCTGTTCCCCCCCTTCTATTGCAAAGGTCCCATATGATCAATTCAATCTAAAAAGTTAGAAAAAAAAAAACCCTACAACATGAGTTTTTAATTCGAAGCCTTGAGCGCATGAGTCGATCTGTTTTGTCGGAATCATTTGGAAGAGGTGTAAATTCACGTTTGTATGACAGCAAGTTGGTAGAATGAATGGTACAGATCTGCATTATCTGTAGTACTCCCCGGAGCATCAATAAGTGCCAATGTAGGTTATGTGTTTGGCTCAGTTGGTTATCTGGACTATTACGAAATTTGTTGGTGAATAAAGCTTACACGTGAAGGTGACGGTTTACCGGAACATACAAGGCGGTTTTATGAAAATGGCAAGTACGATGAAATTCCATTAAAAAAAATGGGGCATTCTCGACTTCCTACATCATTCTAAAAAGTAATGGGATAAAAACGAAACTTCTGGCATATTCTTTACTCAGATGACTATCGAAATGTTAACAAATAAATTAGGTTATGAAAAACCGACATTTTGTCACGATCATTGTCGTGTATAAAAAAAAATTTTTTACTACGTTTAGAAATGATGTAGCATATAAAAAATAAATAACAAAAAGTTCGGTAATATATGAAGTTTCTATACAGTGATAACCCATGTTCGCGGTCTAATTCCTCTCATAATAGGAAGAATTAGCAGGAAATTAATTCCCAGAATCCGGAAAGAAGAGAAATATTTCCATTCGGATTTGTGCAGAGCTAGGAGATTAGGATCTATGTTCAACAACCAAGCAATATGGCTGAGAACTTTTCTAACCATGTTTTCCATATTCTCATCGTTACATACAACGACCACGGGTACTGATAGTTTGAAGCTTGGCCTATCTTGATTATCCAACATAAAAATAGAAAAAGGAACCTTTTACACTGGAGAACTTACAACAGAACAGACAGAAAAGTTCAACGAACTCATGGCTGGATATATTGATTTTGAAAGAAGATCAATTCAGAAAAACTAATGTGATAACTTATACCATAGATGTAACGCCAATCAAACAAAGGTTTTAACGAAAATTCCATAAAATAAAATTTTTCGACATCAGTATCTATCCAAAAATTCTTCCATTCATCTGATCCTCTTCCACTTCATTAACCTTGCGCTTACGGTTCGATAAAGATGACTCAAGCTGGACTGCGCATTGAGCAACACCTTTTACAAGCTTTTTCGGAGAGAAATATTTTCTCCCACATAATTGGGAAGCCGATTTTTCAATTAATTTATGAAAAATTCAAATGTTATTTCTAGATAAATTTTAATAATTAATGAACCAAAATATAAATAAGATTTGCCATAAACAGAGTACAAACCTTCTTTACATACTGCTTCAATGCATTTAGAGAAAGTATCAATATCAATATCAGTCAACCCAAGCATGCATATAGTGTTTTCGAATATATAGGATGCTACAAATAATGATAACGAAAGTTTTAAGGGAATATTAGCTCATTAGTACTAAATTATATAATTTATATAGGACTATTTACCATTTGTTTGGATCACGTATATCTCAAACCTATGAATATCTGGACTTGGCAAGGTAGAGTTGGAACCGGTTAATTAACCGGTTAACGAATATTTTAGCCGGTTATTAACCGGTTAAAAAATTTTTTGCCGGTTCCAACCTCTATGGCAAGGCAAGATATGCACTGATAAGTAAAAAACCTTTGAGCAATATTCAGGTTTTGGTAAATTGTTCTTTCTTTTGTTGGCAGTGTCATATCTTTCATTCTCCTGAATTAATACTTCTTGACTGATGGACGTAATAATCGCTCTTGAGTCCATTTTTGGACCACTATTTACTTGAATTTGAGCAAGTTCCTTTAACTTGTAATACGCTACAGATGAAACTTCGCCGCTGCATTGTGTAATGTGAATTAATCGTCTCAGAAAGTATATAATAATAACAGTAGTTTAACCGTTTAAACATACCTAGAAATACGAATATCCCTTTTTCAAAAGACGTTGCATAAAAGTGGCGTCCACACATATGAATTATATTCGGATACAGTAAGGAATCGAAACAACATGTCATTTGAATAAAGGTTATACCTGTCCATAAAAAAATCGAATTTTAAAATTTAATATTTGAAATACAGCAATATAATTACAAAATCAGAAGGCTTTCATACATTAAAAGGACCCGATGCTTATCATTTGGCAATTTAAGAAGAAACCTATACCACTCATCTTCACTTGGGATCCATTATTGTATCATAAATCTAGGAGTTGACGGACGTAAGGGGTTCATACCATGATTTCTATTATGATTAAAAAACTGTAAATGTAGTTAATAGGTTTGTGTGATTGTGAACTGATTTCTCCTGCAGGGTTTGACGTAATGCATCTACAGACATCTGTAAATAAAATTACTTAGTCTAGCAGTCTTTTAATTTTGTAATAAGCATGTAAACTTACATAATCTCGAAATGCGTTCAGAAATTTCATAACTTCTTCGTCAATATCAATTAAAAACTTATTTATTCCAAAATTTTTGCCATCGTCAAAGGAGATTGTGTTAACGTCATCGCTTTCCATTTGTGCTTGAATATGCGTGATCATTGATGATGGAAGAGGTCCTATACATAAGTTGTTATGAAAATTGACAAACCAATATTTAATGGCCTGTTCAAAATAAAATTTGCGTCAGTTGAAAGTAAATGTGTATTTCAGATGTTAAAAAACCTCTTACGTTTAGGCATTCTTGAAAATAATGCAGATGTCAAGACCATTCCATAACCATTTTTGCCCATTTAAAGGACACAAACGTAAACCTGAGAGTAAATCTTGTGTGAGTTCATGCTGTACATTTTTAGGTTTATTTCTAGTAAATTTGGGCTTTGGCATATTATCACATTGTTTTCTTCGAGATTACTTCGTTTGAGACTCTGAAATAGGTTTTAGTTGTGCTTTAAGATTATTTTGCTTGTGATTATCTTCAGGTTCAGAAATATCGCTATCATCATTATTCATGGATTTTAAAGTATCACCATCATCATCACAACTTTTAACTCAGAAAAATATTCATAATTGATCTTGGTACAATTTCAGAATCTGATGTAGATTCTCCATTATAAAGTTCAAGATCACTTTTGTATCCCGTGTCAAAAAACCTGACCTATGCATTCGAAAGTAAGTAAGTTAAAGAATATTTCTTGCTAGATAAATTTAATTATATACCAACCTTATTTAGAGAAGTCGATAATCCTTCTCCGTGATTTGTCTTTTCTTTTAATGGTAGATTACTTTCGGCAAAAGAATAATTATTTCCGTTGTGGATGTCTCCGTAGATAATTCCACTGCCATCTATGTATAAACCGGCTGGTGGAAATGGACGTGCTTCCTTAAACGATTTTTCTCCCAATTTTTCGCCTTCTTTTCATCGAATCGAGGTGGCTAACATAAAAAAGTTTGACACGTTTTATTCTTCAACCTTCAAGTCTGAAATCAATTCGATTTCTGTTCCCGCCAGAACATCAGCCAAGCTTGAAGGTCATCTGTGCTCTATTGGGTCCAGTACTGGATAGACTAAGGGTCTTTTATGGCAGACAAACTAAAAGGTCATCTGCGTCCCATTACTGGTTTTGTGGCTCAACTGATGACGAACCATCTAAGAGATTTTCGTCACGTCACATATTCCAACTTTGAAAATGAATTAGTGTAAAGAAAACTAGCTGCAACAACAAAAAACTATTTACTTGCCTTCTTATAATTATCGCGGTGCAACTTTGCCTAATGTTTTGTTCACTATTCATGAGATTTAAGATATATGTCTATTTTGCTATTGAAAGGCTCTTCAATGGATTCGATTAAAAATCTAAAATACACCAGTCCACTGGTTTTCGCTTGAAGTAATCGTGAACAACCATAAGAAATTTTTTTGATGCTTGTTGTTACTGCTATAAACTAAATAAAATTGTTGATGTATTTTTTTTGTGTAGTTTCGCGACAAACACTTGTGAAACATGAAGGTTTTCTCTAGTCAGATTTTTCACCTTATTTTCTTAAAAAAAAGATATAATATAATTAAACAAAAATGTAGGCTATAGTAGCAAATTGATGAGACGCGAGAAAAATAGACACATGACTTTAAATGTACACCAATAAAATTCAAACCACATGACTAGATGCACAAACACGTGATTTATGATCGATCCCATAATCCGATAAAATTCTCATTTTTCTATAAATTTTAATTCAATTTCAATAGATGATCGGTACTTTATTTTTTTTGTTATTTTTTTGCGATTTTAATACTGTCTATGCTTATTATTGCGCACATGTTGGTTGTGTAGTTTCATTAAGTCATGGGTGCACACTTGGCTTATGAATCCAAAATAAGTGATGGTTTAAATTCGCTATCTAATAATTGTTGGAATGGATAATTCCAATCAATTGTTAGCCTTTCTAATAATTGTTGGAATGGAATATGTCCTATCAATTATTGGAGTCTAATTTTTTAAATAATAGCGGGTTGGGTATGATATGTTAGTGGGAAGTAAAAAAACATAAAACAATTATCGAAACTATAATAGTTTCGTATATTAAGCCAGAAAAAATAAAAAAAAATGTTTTATTTTATTATTTGTTTGTAAAAAGGATATACATAATTAATCCAAAAAAATAATTTTACAAAGTCACGCTATATGTAAAATATACTATCAATAGATAAACTGTAAATAACATAAGTTCATATTTTTATATTATTTAGTTTGCTTATATAATTTTCTAATCAAATATAAAACTGCAGAATATATTCATGATAAAAACTAAAGATATGATCTGAATTTAATCAATTTGAGCTATTCATCAAAAAGACAGATTAAAGATTTAGATAGATTGAATGGATGATCAGATATCATATGTAATTTGATTAAAACTAATTTTTTTTTGCAATTTAAGAAGTTATTTTATTTTTTAGAACTTAAAACTTGAAAGGTTCAGAACTTTAGAATTCTTGAAATGCATAAGTCATTCTTTTATTTAAATACTAAACTAACCTTTGTAAGACAGACTGGAATCTTAAAAATTGAAATAATCAAAAATAAATCTATTTGTATTAATTCATTAGTATTTTCTATATATTATTATTTTTTTTAAAAATTCACACTATTTATCAATCAGAAAGTTAAAGAGAGATAAGTTCTAATAGAATAAAATATTTAGTTATTTATTTTTTAAAAAAATTACACTAAATTTAACTTTGTAAATGGTTCAGATTTTTAAAAATTTGATTAGAATCAAATCATAAGTTCTATTAAAAATTTTTTATTTTATTTTATTTTTTGATTTTAAAAAACTAACAATAAACTTTCTTGTAAGTTTTTTTAATTATAAAAAAAAGAACTGATATTAAGTTACCTTTGTAAACTAATCTAGATTTTTAAAGTATGATTTAGAAATAAATTTTAACATAATAATATTTTTTTTAATTTTTTTTATAAAAAAAAAATTGGAACTTTAAATAAAAGATAAGTCTCTAATTGGAGAAATTGTTAGTTTTTTTTTAAATCTTAAAAAATTAATACTAAACTTTTTTTATAGGACAGTTTAAATTCTTAAAAAATTAAATCAAAGGTAAGTTCTAAAAATAATATTAAATTACTTTTAAAGACTATTCAAAATCCTTAAAATATTGAATCAAAAATAATTTCTAATATAATTCTTATTTGCAATCTATTTTTTTAAAAAAAAATACTAATATTCACTTACCTTTATAATCTAATTTAAAATCTATAAACTCTAAAATCTTGAATTAGAAATAAGTTTTAATAAAGTGAGATTATTTTTTTTAATTTTTTTTTTTTATAATATAAAAAAAACTAATACTAAACTTAGCTTTATAAAATAACTTAAATCATTGAAGCCTTAGATTCAAATCAAATCAGAAGTGAATTCTAATAAAAAATTAAATTAGATTTTATTTTTAATTATAAAAATATATAAACCAGTTCAGATTTTTAAAATAATAAATCAGAGATAAGTTTCAATAGAATTTTTAGTATTTTTTTTTAATTTTTAAAATAAAAATTAATATAAGTTATCTTTATAGACTGATCTAGAATCTATAAATCTTAGTATCTTAAATTAAATATAAGTTTTAATAAAGTAAAATATTTTAATTAGTTGTTTTTTATAATCATAAAAAATTTACACTAAATTTATCTTTATAAAATCTTGAATTTTAGATCAAGACGTTATTAATAATCTATATATATCACTAAATAGCTGCATCAATTATGATTATCAATGATCTTCATAAAATGTGTGATCATCATTATCACTAATTTTACTGTTATTATAGTTATTATCATTTTATTTAATATATTATTTTATTATTTATTATTATATTATTTATTATTATTATTATTATAATTATATTTATTATCTTTATTATATTATATTATATTTCTATTTTATATAAATATCATGTATCATCGCCTTAATAAAAGGATATGTTTCTATCTTATAATTTAATAAAATATAATCTTAATAATATAAAACTTATATTTTGTTAATATTTATTTTGTTAAAATATAAATTATTAATAAAAATAATCTAACCCTTCAAGTTAATTAAATTTGTATTTATTTTTTCATAGTTTAATGACTTAAACTTCCTGTTAGCAAATAAATTTATTATCCTAATGACGTAATATTTAGGCTTAACAAGTAATGATTTTTATCAGTTGAATCTTTATTAAAGATATACATAATGAATTGCTAATAAAATAGTAAGATATATGAATTTTAAGAAAATTGAAAGAATTATATCAAAACATATTATCAGGTATTATATAAGTGTATCCTTAAACTTAGATTATACTTGTGATTAGTATTACTTACCTCTTATATTTAATATTTTTTCAAGAATTTTTAAATTAATTTAATTATAAATATTAAGCAAAAACATATACTTCTAGAACTATTATTGCTTTTAATTTATTAAATAACTCAGCATTACCTTTAAATTTAAATATCATAATAGTCAATTAACAAGAATTGTACACAAACTACTTTCTAGTATTTATTATTAAATTAGATCTTTTTTATCAGACATAATTTACGTTTAAGATATATTATTTGATACTGTAACAGGTAAAATTTTAGATAAGATTTAATTGGTAGAATATGAAGTCAATTTTATTACCATATAGATCTTTATAAAGATTATTTTGTCAATTTTATTGCTATCGATCAATTATGCAAATCTTTAGATATCAATTTTATTTTCTTAATAATCACGTAAATCATAGATGTCCATTTAATTGCCTGCAAATCTGGCAATTTTATTGATACAGCAACTTTATTGCTTAGTAAAATGGCAACTTTATTTTCTTCAATATATTTAGTTTAATTTATTTTATTATTTATTCAACATATATAAATATCTCTGTATTTTCTTTAAGTCTCAGCACTGACAAGATGTTAATCTTTTAGATACTGAACTTATATATTAATAAAGGAGTATAATTAACTAAGTATAAAACTTATTCTTCGCAACCCTTTAAAACTATTATAAATTATTCATGATCCTTTGCATTCGTGCAATCCTTTCAATTATTGTTAATAAACCTTTTGTATGATATTGTATTAATTCACTGTATTAACTTAGAGTCTCTGAAGTGTAATCTCTGAAATATCTTTGAATCATCTTGTGTTTATTTTGTATTTATCTCACATATTTTATATTGAAAATAATTCTTTGACGTTATTATGAATCTTCATCTGTGATTCTTTGAGTAATTGTCAGTTTTATTTACCCTTTTAAGATTTTATTTAAAGTTATAAAATCAACGTAATAATACAAATTATTTTCAACAACTAGTTGACTTATCTATTTTTCTAAGAGTATATATTAAAATCTTAGATCAAGAATTAGTAGGACTTTAAAGAGACTAATAACTACTTAGACAAATTATTACTTCACTAACTCCTTTTGCAACTAGTCTATCTAATACACTACCTACTATATTTCCATCTAAAATCATAGCTGCAATAAAAGCTGAAATGAAAATCTTTTTTTAAGAAATTTTTAAAATAAATAGAATATACTTAACTAAAATAAGTAATCACCATAGAAAAGGAGAAAGATTAATAATTTAAATTGATCATTTTTAGAAGCTGAAAATGAGGATTCTGTTGAATAACTTATTACTTTTGAATGAGCTGCAATTATAAATAGATAAATAGAAAAACTTACAAAAAGGTTATTACTGTAGGACATCTTAAAGGTACAGCCACTGATTGGTTTGATAATGTAATAGCTGTAAGAAACTATTAAACTATAGAAATTAATGACAAATAAAATTTCGTTAATTTATTTAAGCACAATTTATTAGTGAAACAAAAAAATCAGTGATACTAAAAGCTAACTATTTTAAGATAACAAACAGATAAATCTATAATTCATATGCTAATAAATTTAAAAAATTAGTAATTTACATAAATTTAACTAATAATAAATAAAGAAAAGGATATTTCTTATAAAACTCAATCCTGCCTATACTCTTGATATATTCTCAAAATCTAGCTAATATAAATGCTATAATTATTGCTATCTAAACTATCAAAATTGGATATAATTTTGCAATTGAAAAAACCTCTAAGAATATTAGTATTATCAATATATAAAATTTAAACTAAAAATTATGTGCACAAATTATACTAAAAATAAAAATTTAATACATATATTACATAGTATTTTCATTTTTATAAATAATTTATCCATTTTTATATATAATTTATCTATTTTA